GCCTCGAACGCCGGGTTCAGTGCTAGATGAATCCGAAAGCCTTGGTACATTGTTCACCAAGTATGATGAGACGAGTGTATACTACATTCGGCACAGAGCACGGCAGGAAGCCAAAAAGGCCTTTGTGCACTTAGAGACTTCCCGCAAAGTGGCCAAAGCGTTACAGCGTAATGCAGCCCCTCTAGACACTGACTATAAGGTTGGTGATTTAGTTATTTACCGTCGGGATAACGTCCCTGGCAGCCCAGGTGTCGTGTGGTCCACGGTTAGCCGCGTCATAGGACGTGAGGCAGAGAATGCGTACTGGGTATTACACGAGAATATCCCTGTACTTGTGAACGCTAGGAAGATGCGCCCGGCTGATGAAATCGAAGTTGCAGCGCATCGCGTTTTGGCAGGAGAACCAGTGCTTCCGGAAGCCATTGTTCATGGACCGGAACAAAGGTTCCAGGATGAGCGCGTAGCAGACCCGGTCACAGCACCAGCGACGCCACGTCCAGTGGCTGCAGCTGCCCCGCTTACACCGGCAGTCGCGCACGATGTGCCTATGCCAGCACCATCGACGCCAGCGATGATGCCCGGCACACCGATGCCAGCGCCATCCACGCCTGCAAGGTTTCGCGCCAAAGATAAGACGGGCGAAACCGCCCGGTCGCGATCGCCAGTAGGAGGCCGTGATGATGCACTAGTTGCGGAAGAGATTGACCAAGTAGAGATCATGGCAAAAGGCCTGATAGATACTCAGGGTTTTTCCCCGGATGAGTGTCTGGCCCTCCTTCGTGCCTATGACCGCGACCGACGCGAGGCTTACACGCGCCCGCTCCTAGATGATGGAGATCCCGGGTGCATAGCCCTCGCGGTGGGAGTATATCGGCACGGTGGTCTTGTTGGAGTTTCTGGACCAACGCGCGAGAGACCGTCGTTTGCCATGTACCTCAACCACTACATCTTGCATCACAGTATGCAAGCCGGTCATCACCTCCCACAGTGGAGTAGCGTTCAGCTTACCAACAGAGGCGCAGAGGCCCATAGAGACCTAGCGAACACTCCTGGCTCGCATAACTACACTATAGGTGTGGGCGAGTATCGTGGAGGCGGTCTATGGGTGGAAGAAGCCACGGGTACAACCCCCGTGCGTGTTCAAAACACGACAATGTATGGCACTGTCCACGATACTAAGAACAAGGTTCTTAAGTTTCGCCCGAAGGACGTGCACATGGTCGCGCCGTATGTAGGAGAACGATACAGTCTCTCCGCATACACGGTGAGTGACCTCGGCAAGTTGTCTAAAGATGACATACAGCTTTTGTCGGACTTAGGCTATCCCATATATAGGGATGCGCCCAACACCTTTGGCAGGAAAGGCGATGGGATATACACCATGGGTCACTCTGATCTTCCCATCGAGACGTTCCTAGAACGCATCCGTGAGTACGGGATTAAGGAAATCATAGATTGCAGAAGCCATCCGTACAGCGTTCGGCATCCACAATATAATTGTGATGAGCTTTCCGCCACATGCTTTGCAAAAGGGGTTGTGTACAGTCACGCCCCCGAGTTAGGCAACAGGAACCGGGGCGGGATTGAAGCCAATCTGCAAACAGACCAAGGGCTCTGTACGATCGCTAGAATAATTAGCGAGGCCCACGATGACTTCCACCGAATACTTCTGATGTGTTCGGAGGCCAGTTGGCGGCGATGCCATCGGCGAAATATCGCCCAGCACATATGGCTTGAGCATTCGAAACTTGCCGAGCACATACGTGCCAACGGACTGCCAGAAGCCCATCCGTGTCACTACATTCCTGAGGAAGACGACGGACTGGCAGCAGCATCGCACACAGCTGCGATTGGCACGACTGTGCCAGCAGCTGAGCCCTCGGATAGTCGAGCGGCGGAATCCAAGGCCTTTGCTCTCACCCCAGATGGGGAAGACGCCATCGGCTCTAATGTCGATGCTGGCTACATGGCCTCGCTCCTGGATTACCACAAAGCCCCTGTTGAAGTACAGCTAGGGTTGGATGCTGCCATGAAAACTGAATGGCAGAAGTACACTGAATTCAACGCAGTGGTTCCTTGCACAGACAAGGAGTTCAAGGAGCTCACAAAGGCTGGCCACGTGTGTATCCCCACCAAATGGGTCCTCACCGATAAGAATGAACACCTAAAGGGGACGCCAGCATACACTCCCAAGTGGAAAGCACGCTTGGTCGCATGTGGAAACTTCGAGCATATCTCGAATGAGGAGGATATCAGGGCAGACAGCCCCACGGCTGAGCCGGAAGGCATAGCCCTTCTGTGTTCATGGGCGGTTTCATTGGCCCTGCGGCTCAAAGCAGCCGATATAACGAACGCATACTTCCAAGGGAAACCCCTTGAGCGCCTTCTCATTCTTCGGGTTCCTAAACACCCTAAGGGTGTACCCGATGCAGAGATTCAGCGAGCCGGGCATATGATTGCCCGAGTACCCGTGTATGGCACGACCGACGCGGGTCGGAACCTTTATCTCCGCATAAAGGAGAGTGCCCGCGAATTTGGCTTAAATGCCTCGCAAATTCTGTCAGCCCTGTACTATATTACAGGAGAAGGTGGTCGTTTGTGTGCTTGCTTGTGCACCCACGTGGATGATTTCCTGTGGGCTGCTACCGCCGAAGGCGAGCCGGCTATCCAGAATCTGCTGGATAAGTTTAAGATCGGTCGCATAGAGACTGAGAAGTTCCGTTTCTGCGGACGCGAGTATGTGCAAAGCGCCGATGGGACCATCAGCATAAACTGTAGGGACAACACGCGTGCAATTCGCCCGATCGATATTCATAAGTCTGAAAAAGGCACGACTCCAGTCTCGAATGGCCAGCGCACAGCGCTGAGATCCGTCATAGGATCGCTGGCTTGGGTGGCTCGCGCCACGAGACCCGATCTTGCCTATAGGGTGAATGCCCTGCAGCAGCGTGTTACGACAGCCACGGTGGATACACTCCGTGAAGCAAACCGCGTAGTAGCACTGGCGTTAGGAGATGCGGATAGGCCAATCACGTACAGCGCTAAGTTACCCTGGAATACAGGGGAGCTGGCGATTGTCACGTTTTGCGACGCCTCCTTTGCAGGAGAGGCAAACCATAAGTCGCAGAGAGGTCGTTTCCACTATCTCACTTCCGCACAGTCGGCGGTGGACAAGAACGCGTCAACGCATGAGATGCACCTCATTTCGTTTTCCTCGTCCACCATGAAACGGGTTTGTCGCGCCACACTCCAGTGTGAGGCTTACTCGTTGCAACATGCGATAGAGCATGGAGACCGCATTCGAGCAGCGGTGCTCGAACTGCTCGGCAAACTGCCCCGGTCACAGAACTGGGAAGAAGTCGCCAAGAGATCGATGTTCCACCTGCAGTATACGGACTGCAGGTCCCTTTCGGATCACTTGACTGCGTCGATTCCAAAATCATGCGAGGATAAACGCCTTGCCATAGAGATGTCTGGACTCCGCCAAGGACTTTGGGAAGAGGACGAGCTAACGCACGCCTTGTACCATCCTTACGGCGACGAGTTGAGATGGATACCGACGCATTTACAACTTGCGGATTGTTTGACCAAGAGTATGAAACCGCTTTTGATCAATCACAGCATTGATCGCAATCTCGTTCAGGTGCTCGATGTGCCCGCGCAAGCCGCACAGAATACCGAGAGTACCTAAAGCACTCCGCTTTACGATCGAAGAACTCAGCCTGGAGCCTTGAGTCGCCGCACTCGGCTCGGTTGACTGCGCAAGCTCCCGGTATAATCCGGTGGAGTAGGCTTGACCCAAAGTGGTCATAATTCGAGCATGATTCGGACGTCACACTACAGATAAGACGGGTGTGAAATTTCCCTGTCTTGAAGCGCCGTGTTGACATGTCCTCATGCGTGAATAGTTTTTGAGACAGTTCTGAACGCACCCTGTACGACAGACGTCTTGGGCTCAGACCAAAAAGTGCGCTCGTTGTGTGGTTGGACACTCACTAATCCAGTTCCTGCTTCAAAAGGGTTTTAGGGGTTTAGGGGTTTAGGGTTTAGGGGTTTAGGGTTTAGGGGTTTAGGGTTTTAGGGGTTTAGGGGTTTAGGGTTTAGGGTTTTAGGGGTTTAGGGTTTTGGGGTTCAGGTGTTTAGGGTTTAGGGTGATTTAGGGCTACTATGAGGGTGCCTATACGGGTTGCTACAAGAACGACTCCGTAGGTTATCATATGGGTGGTTGTCAAAATTAGGGTCCCTTTTTGGGTGCCCTAAATATTAGGTGCCGTACTATAATAGGGACCCACAAAAGGACCATAGTTTTGACAACCACCCGCATGTAGGGGCCTCAATAATCAGAATAGGGTTCCTTTAAAGGGCTTTAAATAGGGGTTACTGTAAGGGATCTTTAAGGGTAGTATGATATAGGGGCCTTAATAGTTAGAATAGGAGTTCGTGGGGGTTGAGGGCAAGCACTTGTGCCATCGTGGCTATTTTTGCACCAAGAGCCTTGAACCCTAAGCACTAAACCTTCGGTGCGGCCCCCATATAGTAAGAGTCTATAATAGGGCTACTAACTATATCTATATTATAGATATTACTCAACCATTACTGAGTGGGGGCCGCACCCAAACTAAACCCTGAACCAATCAGAGTTTTATCTGTGACATCGGCGCTGTGAAAGCCCCGTCGCACCCCTAAACCCTTAAGCCCAAAACCCCTAAACCCTTAAACCATAAACCCCTCAGAGCTTTTTGTCTTTCGGCCTCCGAATCATCCAAACTTATCTCTGAGCTCTCGGCAGCTCCTGAAAAAGAAGTGCCTTCACGGGGGCCGCCTCGTAGTCTAAATTCAATTGGGATCTAGGCTTGAAGTTTTTATTGTTTTTTTTTCCTATGCTGTGTTTTTCTGCTGGTTTTTCATGTTTCTTAGCAGCTTAGGCTTTAGAGATCTCGCTTCTTTGCTTAAGGGCTGTTTTTATCAGCTTGCAGGTTTTCTTCGTCAGCCACGCTGAGGTCTGTCTACAGTGCTGGGTACCAGGGCATGCGGCCTTACATGGAGGCCCGGGGCTTCCTAGTTTGGTGCTTTTTAGGGTTTAGGGTTTAGGGTTTAGGGTTTCGTAGTTTGGTGCTTTGAAAGTAAGGTTATAATACCGACAGTCAAGTTCGTCATGACCTCTGATAACATAGTGTAACAGGTGGTGGTGTACTATAACATACGATGAGATCTTACAATATACTATAAGATACTAGAATATGCTTTAATGTTCGATCATATACTTATGAGGTGCGTTTACACCCAGCGTGATTTGCAGTTCCCCATATTCTGAGTAAGATTGCTTTTTCAATAGCCCTGAAAGCCAACATCCTATATCCCCGAGGCTTACTGCGTCAAAGATTAGGAATGCGATTCTTTAGGTTTTTCTCTGGTACATACTACCAGTATCATAACATAAATTTGCCCCAAAGCCCCGACTAATTCGTAAAGCCTCTATTAAGCAACCTTTTACCACCCCCTTCATGAAAACCCTAAAGCACCCCATCCTCACCGCACCTATGTTATAGGAAGCTACAGCTTAATATACACACCCATAATCCTGGTTAGAACCATGAAGGTCTCTTACATGATAAGAGCGGGTTATCGGAGCGCAAGGTTTAGTATACGGATCGGAAAAAAGTAACACGAATAGCCCTTAGTGTCCCCAACAGTCAGACTGCACCATACCCCAAAACCCTGCGCATAGTATGTCAATTTTCATATACTGTATCGCTCCTATACAAAAAGCCTAGGCCCTGGGACCTTTAGAGTGACTCTTTCAAGAAACCTCGAAAGGAACCCTCTCCCAATACTTTCAAAGGAGCCTTTACAGACACACTATCCTCCTACTCAGCAATATAAAGGCCCCTATCTTCTGAGACATTCCCTGAACCCTAAACCCTAAGCCCCTAAGTCCCTAAACCCCTAAACCCCCCAACCCCTAGACCCCTAACCCCAAAACCCTAAAGCCCTAAACCCCTAAACCCTTAAGCCCGAAACCCTAAACCGTGAGACAGGACCGGGCCTGCGGATTGCTTGCGATACCTGGCTACCCAATGGCCTGGTTCTCGTTGGCATGCTCTTGGGGGGGTTTAGGGATTTAGGGGTTTAGGGATTTGGGAATTTGGGGTTTATGGGTTTAGGTGTTATTGGATTTAAGGGTTTAGGGGTTTAGGGTTTAGGGTTGGGAGTTTAGGAATTATCCTTGAAGCCGTAAGCCGTAAGCATTGATGATCGTGTAGACTGAAAGGAGTTCTCCTTAGAAGTTGCAGTCTTTTAAGTTCTCCTGATGATAGAAGTACGTACCAGAGAGTGTCGTTATGGTTATGCTCGCTTTCGGTCTAGTGGGCTCGTAGCTCTGGGACGTGGAGTTCGGGCTTTGGGGCTTGAGGCTCAGTTCAGGTTTCGGGTTTAGTTAGGTTTCGTTCGTATTAGCGGTTTAGGGTTCGGCACATTGGAGCTGCTAGCAGTTGGGATTCTGGTATCGTGTCGTGAAATAGGGTGGTTTGCACATGTTTGCAGACACAGACCACCAATCTACGGGCCTTAATACTAAGGATGGGGCTTGGGGGTATTTTACTCTATAGTTGTAATAACGGACCCCACAAGAGCATAGGTAATTATTGAGGCCCTATTAGAGAAAGTCGTGTTCCAGAAGCCCCGGCTAAGCGTTAAGCCCACCCCCCCCGGCCCCCACATTACTCAGAAGGCGCGTGCTTCATGGTGCCGAGCTGACTCTGAAATGCCGGTCTCAAAGTGGCTGCAAGCACCCGCTTATTATGCCTCCCTAGTGCGCCGACCTAAATCCCAGACTCCCTAGGCTCTAAACCCCAAAATTACACCTTAAACCCTAAATCTAAAGCCCCGGAACGCGTACCTTGTAAGCCCTGGACCCAAAGCCATACACTCTAAACCCGAAATTTCTACTTTAAAGCCTAAATCTAAAGTGCCTGGACCCTTAAGCAAAGGATCCTAATATAGGGGCCTTAACAGTTAGAATATGGTTTTGGGGCTCACCATACTAAATATAATAAGGACCCCCCCCCAAAAAAAGCAGTATAGGCAATTTTAAGGGCCCTCTAGTACCCTAAACCCTAAAGATCCCCTTTTCAGGAGCCCTCTAAGGAACCTTTTTAAGGATCCCTTTTAAGGATCCCTTCAAGGAACCCTTTAGGGACCCTATGTTAGTCCCTGCAGAGGCTTCGGTCTTCGGAGTCTTCGATGGGCACGGTGGCTACCAGGCCAGCCCCTTTTTTGTGTTGACTCGGTCTGTGGTATGTTGGTGCGAACTGCAACTTTAGGGGTATTTTAGGGTCCCTTTAAAGGGTTCCTTAAGGGGATCCATAAGGGTTCTATAAAGGGTTTAGGGTTTAGGGAGATATGAGTGGTTGTCAAAATTCGGGTCCCTTTTTGGGTACCTAGGATAGTACGGCACCTATTATTTAGGTAACCCAAAACGGGACCATAGTTTTGACAGCCACCCAATAGGTCGGTGGTCTCTTTACTTGGGGTTTCTGTCTTGAGGGGCTGTATATAGGGATCGTTATTAGGGCTATGTTAGGTAGCATTAGGAACAGATAAAGAGACCACCGGCCTGTTTTAAGGTCTATGTGGTGTTTCTTCTTCTTTCGGCTTCAGATCGTGAGGGTTTAGGGTTTAGGGTCCTGTTTTGTTGTGTTTGTGTTTTGACTGTTTAGTGTTGGGCGTCCTTAAGATCAACACTCGATCTTCCAAAAGGGCGGGGGTCCTAGACTAGAATGACTACTTAAAGGATCTTGGGACTTAGTAAGTAAGGTTATAGGTACCTTAATTGGCGTTATAAGTATAGTTACCCTAATTATAACCGTAGTTACTAAGTCCCATGATTCTTTAAGTAGAAGAAGTCAGCCCTGCAACTCGGAGACCTTGAAGTCGTAAGCTCATGGTTAGGGCTTACAGTTTAGGGTTTGGAGTTGAGGGTTTCGGTAGGGCTCTGCATTTTGAAGTTGTAGGGCTTTCTGGGTTCCAGACGCAGGGCTTTAGGGCGTTACACTTCGTTCATCTTCGATCTTCGAGGTTGGACTTAGAGCACTCTACTTGCAGGACTCGTTCTCTTTAGGTAATCTGGTAATCCTCAAAGACAGAGCCCACGCAGGCGAAAAATTGAAGACCGAAAAATGCAAGCATCTTAAGCCTCTGAAACTAGGGTTTAGGGTTTAGGGCATGACTTAGCCGGTCCCAGTGTAAACTCACCAACACTCCGACAGATCCCGAAAACGTCCGCACCTTACCGCAAAAGGTCCCGAAGCTATACATCGAAAAGCTCCAAGCTCCCAAACCTCCAAGAACCCCCAAACGCTGGAATGGAGGTTTCATGTTTCTGTACGGTCTCATGAGGCTTGTAACAGGGTTTTAAGATTACCAGACTCCAAGAAGCCTATCTCAGAGCTGTAGCTTGGGCAGGTCGCGCAGATGGCTGCGGAGAGGCTGCCAAGGCAACCGGAGGTTATTGCCCCTACTTGGAGGGGCAGGGGACTGAGTAAGTCGTTTATAAGTAGGGTTAGAACTCCATTTAGGGCCATTTAGGGTACTTTTAACCTTACTTATAACCTACTTACTAAGTCCCCTGCCCCTCCAAGTAGAGAAGCTATACGATACTGCACCCCCAAGCCCGGCAAACCATCTTCCAGCGATTCAAGCCCATACTTTACACTCTTCAGGGTTTATGGGGAGATTTTGGGGGTTTAAGGTGCCCAGAGACTCCAACATTCGTAAAGGAGGGCGACTTCCTGGAACTCCAGAAAGTTGGTAGTGAATTCGGGATGATCAGTGCCCGCGTTCCTTTACCTCTTTGGCACAGTTTTCTTTGCTTCTACTGCAAAGCCCTCAACCCTGCAGCCCGAACGTTTGTGGAGGTTACTCCGTTGGGGATGGCTTCGATGGCTTTGCAGGGTGATCTGTATAGTTCGACCACGCCTTGATCTTCAAGGTACAATAGTGTACCTAACCCTAAACCCTAACCCCTAAACCCTAAAGCGGGTTCCTGCAAGCTGGGAGTCCCAGTAAGCAAACAGGCGACACTAGATTAATGTTGGCCGCACATAGTCGAAGCCTTAGGACATCTTGCCCTAAGCCCTAAGTGCAACATCGCAGGGGAGAGCGGTTTCACGGTTTCGGGTTCAAGGTGTAGGGCTTTCGTATTTCGGGTTTATCTAGGGTTCGAAAATCATCCTGGCCTCTTTCGGGAGCTAAGGGTTCGAGTGTTGCGATTGGTGGAGAGGCTTTTGTTAAACGAGAAGAAGTGAGAAGGTGGGAACATCACTATATGCTTCTGCTCCTCAAGCCGAACAGAGAGAACCACAGCACTCATCAGTCTTCGTCCTGAAACTCTGCGCTGTTGCTGTGGTTATTTAGAGTGAGTTTTGGAGGTCTCCAGAGTCGGAGCGTCAGGCTAATAAAACATAACATAGTATATCATGCTATAGCATACCGTAAGAAGGGGTTGGAATCTAAGGCTGTAGGTTGTAGGGTTTGGACTCTCGGCTTTGGCTGTTGGAGATTGGCCAGGGTTGCTTCTCACAGTTTCCGATACGAGATAAGGTAACTAAATCCCATCGAAACGATATGAGGTAATATGCGGTGTAATCCCATTTAGATCCTATAACGCTCTCTCCTCTAAATCCTAAACCCTCATCCCCACGTTCGGCACCGGAAGGGTTCTCGTGGAGAAGCTGAAGGCGGGCGCCGAGCCGGGCGAAGCAATGAAGGATACCTGAGCTGGGCATTTGGAGGGTCGGGTCGGTAGAGATCCTGTCAGAGCCCCAAGAGCTTTTACGGTCTTCCAGGTTAGTTCATACGGGTTGTTGTGCGGAAATTCACAACGGCTCATTAGGGCTTAGGGTATCTGTCTAGGCCCCGATGCCAAAGCCGATTCTCAGCTTACGAACCAAGCTTCCGAGTATGCTACGAATGTCCGAAATGAGTCACCTTTGTTCAAACATGAGCCAAATCCTGGACAGTTTGATGGTCTTCCTTTTTGGCTAGTGCAGGATGTCGTCCATCAGTGGTAGAGGCAACGATAGTTGAGGGCTTAGGGTTTCAAGATCGTGAAAATATTGAGCCGTGTGCGAGGATGCCTTCTGCTCCTTCGACGACGATCTGCGACAGAACAGTTCCACATCTTTTCAGCCGCACGGCGTTAATATTGGCCTAGGAAACCCTAAACCCTAAACCCCATGCTTGGGGGGGCATTTTGTTGATGCCTTCTGGGATTCGGAAGCTTCTGAGCTTAGGGCCTATACCCTGAGCCCCAAGCCCTAATATAGAAGCTTAAATTACTGCCAATCTGAGTCCTTCCTGTAATTTTGCGGTTTAGGAGCCCAGAGCCCTTTTCAAATCATTGAGGCCATTACAATGCAGGGTTCAGCCTTTCAAGAAGGGATCCTTCAAAGAACCTTTATAGAACCCTTTCAAAGGAACCCAAGAAGGAATCCTTATAGATCCTTTATCGAACCCTTTGAAGCTAGTCCTTAAAGCACCCTATAGGCATCGAACCTCATGTCTGTCAGTCTCAGAGTGGCGGTTTGAAGGGTTTTGCTCGAGCGACGAGGGTGCAGGGATGTACGGACATTTCCATGCCCCGTAGGTTTAGGGTTTAACAGTCAAGCTCCTGAGTTACTACAAGGAGCGCAACGCCACCCTGGAGAGTCAAGTGACCGCTGCGAACCGGCAGATCAGCTGGCTTACAGACCGTGTTTGGGAGCTACAAGCGGAGGTGGACGACCTCACCGTGGTAGTGCATGGGCCAGGGCAGGCTGGCATGTCGGGCCTCTGCTTTCAAAACATCCGTTTGCCAGCCCCATGTTCTGACTCTTGCGCAATCTCTTTGAGCGAGCCTTTGCATGCATTGTTCTGCATTCCCATTGCAACGAGTCACCCCGTGCTCCGTTGTCTCAAGGGAGCTCGGGCCTCCGGCAAGGTGTTTTCGCACCAGTCCTACACTCAAATCAAGCAGCCCTGCTTAAAGGATCATGGGACTTAGTAAGTAGGTTATACTTGGGGTTATAAGTCCCCCAAGTGTGGTTATCCTAATTATAACCTACTTATAACCTTACTTACTAAGTCCCATGAGCCTTTAAGTGAGCAGGGGTAGTCTTTACGGTTTAGGGTATACTCATTTCTGTTCGAACTCCCTGCGCACCGCGGCCCCAGTATAGCCCATAACCCCTAAACCGACAAACACATAAACCCTAAATCCTAAACCGCTAAACCCCAAATCCCTAAAACCCTAGACCCAGAACCCTTAAACCCTAAACCCTAAAACCCTAAACCCAAAAAGCCCTCCAGACGTAACCCTTAAACCCTAAACCCTAAACCCTCAAACCCCTAAACTTTGAACCCCAAACCCCGAAAAGCCTAACTCCATAACCCCAAAACCCCTGGCTTTAGATCCGAAGTTCGCAGCCGAAGAGACGATAAGTTCGCAAAGCCGCAAAACCCAAGCAACCTTCCTTGGGTTCCTTTAAAGGGATCTATAAGGGTTAGTAGGGAAGTAAGGGTTACTATAAGGGATCTATAAGGGTACTACAATATAGGGGCCTTAGTAATCCTATAGCTTACCTTTGGTTAGTACTGAATGGAGGAATGGGGTACAATTATATTTTATATTACTACCATTCTTCCATTCCCTACTAGCCAAAGGTAAGTAAAAGGGTTTAAGGTTCATATACCATATAGGGACTCATAGTATAAGGGTACAGGGCCCGTACTTATGATGGTCATTTGGTCCCCAAGCACCCTCTGCGCTTTGAATAAGCAGCACTTAAAACTCGAAACCCGAAAGCCCAACCCCCAAACCCGACATGTGATGATGTAGAGCCCCTAAACCCTAAAGCGGCAACCCTAAACCCTGAACCTTGAACCCTAAACCCTAAACCTAAAACCGGCAACCGCAGTTGAGGAAAATGGGTTCCACGGCTATCATGACACTGCCCCTCGCAGCAGCACAATTCCTCGGACCTAGGGTTTACAGGATTTTGGGTTCCGGGGTTTAGGGTTTCCGGGGTTTCGGGGTTTCGGGTTTAGGGTTTCGGGTTCAAGGTTTCGGGTTTAGGGTTTGGGGTCTGGCGATGTTTAGTGATTAGGGTCCCTAGAGCTCCAATATCCCTTAATTAAGGAATATAAGTTGAATTATTATAGTAGGATCCCTAATATGATTTAAGGAATATTCGCTAATTAAGGGATGTTGGAGTCTCTGGGTCATTAGGGTTTGTTGTTCAGGGCTTAGGGTTTCGGTCGGAGGGGATTGCCTCTTCGCAGCATGAACTTAGGAATTGAATCAGAGGTTGGGCTTTGGGTCCTGGAAACCAGACCCCTTAGCCCCAAGCCGTTCAGATTCAGAATAAATCATACTCATACTCGTACTTGGTCTTCTTTTTTGTGTTTTTGTTGTTGTGCTTCCTGTCATGGTGTTGTTTCTACTTATACTTCCGCTCGTGCTGATTCATCAGTGCTAGTGCCACTGTTATTGTCAATTAGATTTTTCTACGGCCATTATTACTATCGTTGTCGTGATCATTTTTGTTGTTAGTGTCCTTCTTCTTCTTGTTGCTGCTGCCGCTGCTGCCATAACCGTTAACCATATTCTTAGGATCTTGATTGCTGCGGTTATTGTTACAGGTGACAGGTATCAACAGCAGCATCAAGTGCGGTGTGGCGACTTCTTTAACTTATCACCATCACCATCGCCCTCGCGCCATGACGACGATCACGATGGTGGTGGTGGTGGTGGCGGTGGTGGTGGTGGTGGTGATGGTGGTGGTGGTGGTGGTAATCATGATGATGACCATCATGTCACTATCTTCATCGCCAGGGCCATCACCGGCAGTTTCCGAAAATAGTGGACCCTAATATAGTACCCGAAATAGTAGGATCGTTTTTATAACGATCCCAAAATCAGGTACCCCTTCATACCAATAGCGTAGTGATCATCTTTGTCGTCCACATCGTCATGCAAAGGCTCAAAGGGGCCTTAATAATTAGAATGGGGTTTGGGGGCATTTAATACGTTGGTTATAACAAGGAAATCCCAAAACCCTGTTCTAATTATTACGGCCCCTAGATTATCAGGACCCTTTGCAAAGGTGCCTGTGTCAGCCTGAAGCAGCTGAAATCCTAAACCCTAAACCCTAAACCCTCAAGTTGAAATCCTAAACCCTAAACCCTCAAGTTGAAATCCTGAACCCTAAACCCTAAAAATCCTGAAATCCCTTCCTCATCCCCGGATCCAAAATCCCAAGATCCAGGATCCTGAATCCTCATCCCCGGAAGCCCTCAAGCCTGGATCCCCATCCCTAACACTATAGGGTTTAGGGTTTAAGGTTTAGGGTTAAGGGTTTAAGGTTTAGGGTTTAGGGTTAAGGGTTAAGGGTTTAAGGTTTAGGGTTAAGGGTTAAGGGTTTAAGGTTTAGGGTTAAGGGTTAAGGGTTTAAGGTTTAGGGTTAAGGGTTAAGGGTTAAGGGTTAAGGGGTTAAGGTTTAGGGTTAAGGGTTTAAGGTTTAGGGGTAGGTTTAGGGTTTAGGGTTAAGGGTTTAAGGTTTAGGGGTAGGGTTTAGGGTTTAGGGTTTAGGGTCCAGGGATCCTAAAATCCTCACTCCCAAGCGCCGTACCACCGAAGGCTTCTTGAAGCGGCGGGCGGCTATCATCTGTATTGCGCCAACTGCGGCGACAGCCGAAGCTTTGCGCTTCATGGGGATTCCCCAAAGGCTCCATGTACCTTTATGGTAGATACTGAAGGCTTAAAGGGTCCCTTTTTTCTGTATGGGTAATTACATGCCTCTGCCATGGGGGGGGGGGGGGGCGGGGCGACTTTTTGAAGTTCGGGACTTCCCCCTTTGTCATTATGATTAAGGTTCCTGTGAAGAGATCCTTTAAAAGGGTCCTACGAGGGTTACTATAGGGGTACTATGATATAGGGGCCTTAATAATGGTCCTTGCATGCCGGTGTTGAGGGCTTTATTAGGCGCCAGGTATTTCTACAAGCAGGCGTGGAAGTTTCGTCCATTCTTCGCTTAGGGTTTCTGGACCCTCAAAAGCCCACGAGTCGTTCCATCAAAGGAGCTGTGCTCTGCCGCAACGACGCGGCTGTGGCGCTGTCACAGGCCCTGCCACCACCAAAGATCCTCAATCCCAATGAACCCTCACTCCTGAAACTTGAACCCCAAGACCCTAACCCCTGTAAGGCCGCAGCCCTACATCCTTAAGTCCACTCTGCGCCTTCAACCTTAAGCCCTCAATTCTAAACTAGACCCTAAACCAAGAGGATCCTGTAGAGGGCTTCCTGTTGTTTCTGCTTGGTTGAGGCAGGTCCGCCCTGGACATCCTCGGTGGTTTGTGTTTACTGTTCTCTTACAGGTTTCGGGTTTGGGGTTTGGGGTTTCGGGTTTAAGATTTAGGGTTTCGGGTTTGGGGATTAGGGTTTGGGGTTTCGGGTTTAGGGATTAAGGTTTCGAGTTTGGGCTTTAGGGTTTCCATAAGTATGGGTCTCAGAAGAGGCTTCGCAATAAGGATGTTATTTGGGGGGTCTCAGGCTCGAACTTACGGCAGTCGGAGGCCGCTTAGCTGGCTGCAGTTTCTGTAGGGAACCTGATTAAGAAACCTCGGGCCTTTATTAGGGCTCCTTGTATGAATCCTAGTTTTTTGGAGTTATAGGCCCAGGTTTCCTAATGAGGTTCCTACATTATAATGTCATACGCGAACCAAAGCCACAGGAATAGTGGGTTAGCAGTACCCAAAACTTGCAAGCAACGTAGACCACTGGGGATTACAGAGCTCAGGGTTTTTGGTGTAGGGCAGGGTTTTCGACCTCTTTCAGGGCCTTTGGTTTGGGAATTCGGATCCCAGCTGCAGTCCCCAAAACGGTTTACAGATTATGGTCTTCAGTTCCAAGGTTAGGAACGATGGCTTTTCATAGTCTCTTCGCTCGGATCCCCGTATGCAGCTTCGATAGTCTCGTCCGAACCCTGAGCCAACCCTTAAACTGCACCCCAACAGCCGAAGCGAACCGTGTAAGACACTCGTAATGAAACCCTGTCACAGGCCTACAATCCCCAAAAGTCCGCACAAAGCCCAAGAACCCTTTGAAACGAGACTGAATCCACCGAAACCCTTGTAGGACCACTTCAAATCAAAGCACCCCCAGCACCCCGTACTTGGAGGATCACGGGACTTAGTAAGTAAGGTTATAAGTACCTTAACCCTAAACCCCATAGATCTCTTCAAGGAACCCTATAGATCCCTTTAAAGAGGTCTTTAAGGACCCTTACTAAGTCCCATGATCCTTTAAGTAGAGCCCTTCTAACAGCTCTTTCATTCGGTTGATGATATAGATCCTGCATTACCTTAAGGACCCTAAACTATGGGAATGATGGTATATTCCTTATCATGGGTAGTGCAGGAATTAACCCTAAACCCTAAACCCTAAGCCCCTATAGCATCAACCCTTCAGCCAGCCTGAGAGCCTGAAGGACCAGAAGCCGAATAATCCGGAGGACCGCGGCTTCGCATGGGGTTTCCGCGTGTTTGTAAGGATTCTGGATGCCCCTAAGGCTCAAAATGGCCCCAAAGCCATATATATACACATACACATATATATAATATGGTCCTTAGGCCCAAAAGTCTTCAAAAACGAGTCCTTAGAGCCTTAGATGATTTGGTAGGCGTTGTACAAAGAGTTTTCGGGCTTCGGGTCTGCAGCATCGGTCGGGTTTTTATTGCTGTCAGGGAGTAGTTGCACCTCTGGTCCTGAACGGCTTCAATTGGAGGACATTGCGGTGCGGTGCGGCGAGGATTTCGGGTACTTAGAGGATCATGGGACTTAGTAAGTAGGTTTTAACTGGGGTTATAAGACCCCTAAGTGGGGTTATCCGAATAATAACCTACTTATAACCTTACTTACTAAGTCCCATGAGCCTTTAAGTAAGTTTCATGCAGTTGCGGCCTTTTAAGAACTCTTTAAAGGAACCTTATAGGACCCCTTTTAAGACCCCTTTTAAGAGCCCTTTAAAGGAGCCCTGTTCGAAATTATCACCGGAGTTCGGGAGGAACGCCAGCGGATCGAGGCGGCCGGAGGAAAGGTCGGTCTTTACGGGCCGTGCTCCTCGCCGGGCGGCATTTTAAGGCTCCTTTAAGGGTCCTTTTGTGGGGGTTCCTGTAGAGGTTTAGGGTTTAGGGTATAGGGTTTAGGGTTTAGGTTTGAGGGTATAGGGTTTAGGGGTGCTTTTCCCTGGAGGATCATTGGGACATAGTAAGTAAGGTTCCTTTAAGGGTTCCCTTAATAGGGGTTCCTTAAAGGGATCTATAGGGTTTAGGGTTTAGGGTCTACTTCGAGGATCATGGGACTTAGTAAGTAAGGCTATAAGTAACGAAATTGGGGGCTATAAGTCCTTAATTGTAACCCCAGTTTCTAAGTCCCATGATCCTTTAAGAGGCCTGTAAGGGTTCCTGTAGAGGTTTAAGGTTTTGGGGTTTAAGGCTCAGCATTTTCGAGTTTCTGTTGGGTCTTGGGATCCAGTGTTTTTTTAATGGTTTGGCGTGCCTAAACCCTAAACCCTAAACCCTAAATCCTAAACCCTAAACCCTAAACCCTAAACCGGGGGGGGGGCCTGTCGTTTAGGGGTCCGCGCTCGCTCTTTTGCCAGAGCCCGGCCCTTCCGAGCCGAGGCAGAAGGCTTTAAGTTTGGGGTTTCGGGGATCAGACGGTTGATGCCTATAGGGTTCCTTTAAGGGAATCTATAGGGTTGTAGGGTTTGGGTTTAGGGTGATGGTATGAAACTGTGGGAATTATGCTATGCTCCTTATTATGGGTAATGCAGGATTGATCTCATCAGCCGTGGTCTCCAGGTTGAATTCAGGCTTTATGGACCTTAAGCCCCAAACCTTATGCTTCCTGCCTTACTGTATCCCCTTCCACCGTCCCAGGTTATCGCATCGACAGCGGGCTGAATCTCAGTCGCGCGTTGGGCGACTTTTTGTACAAGGCCGGTGGTACCTTGAAGATGTGATCCTAAAGTGTGACTTCTCAAGATCCCTGAGCCGAACTCTAAACAAAAATGCCCCAAGCCGAAGCCCCCAGCCCGCAACCCCAAATCCCCAGGACCAGAAACCCTAAACCCTTAAAGAGGCTAGAAATTACATAGAGAGGCAAAGCGGGTGTGGGCGAGTTGTGTTTTAAGTTCGACGGTCTGAGGTCACGCCAGGATTCCGATTGCTACTTAGCATGTCAGGGTTAGGGTGTAGAGTTTAAGCACGGTTTAGGGTTTAGGGTTTCGGCAGCGTTTGGGTTTGGGGTGTAAAGTTTAGGGTCTAGGGTTTAGGTGTTAGCTGCATGGGACTTAGCAACTTGAAGTGTTCCTTAAAGGGCCCTAGTAAGCAAGGTGTTTAAGGGTTTGTATGGGATTTCTACAAGGGTACCGCAAGGGTGCTACAGGCTTTTTAGAGGGACTTCATAGGTAGGGTCATAGGTACCTCGTTTGCGATTAGTTTAATGTCTAGTTGCCCTAAAACATGTAGGTCCCATGTTCCTTTGAGTACGCGCACATGCACCTATCATGCTACATCGCACCATCAATGTCTATCTATCCATCCGTCCATCTATCCATCTATCCATCTATCCATCAATCCATCAATCCATCAATCCACCCATTTATCTATCTATCTATCTATCTATCTGTCTGCCTATCTAGATGGCCTATGATGCCTTCCCGCCTGAATGGCCCCTGCTGCACGAGGCAAACAGAGAACTGCCTGCGGAGCAGCAGAAGGCCCATCACTGAGCGGGGTATTGGTCCTTTGTAATTAGGCAGGATCTAGGAAAAGCACCAAAACAAGCCTATTTCATTGAAATGGGGCGTTTTTGGGGGCATTGCATTTCCAGGGGCACGGGGGCTTAGGGTTCAGGTTATGGGGGTCTAGGGTTATGGAGCAGAAGGGGTGCGCGGAAAATGGGAGTTTCAGGACCCGACTCTGAAGCTTAGATAGACACTTGTCTGTGGCCGTGATGCAAGAAGCCTTCACATACGGTTGATGATATAATATAAACCCTGCATGACCCATAATAAGGAATATACCATAATTCTCATAGTTTGTGGTCCTTAAGGTAATGCAGGGTTTATATCATCAACGGTAGTGAGTTCGGATTGGGTTCCGTGTGCAAGTCATCTTTTGGTTGGAGCCTCCGAATCCTCTCCTCCCCCTGAACCCTAAACCCTACTTGGAGGATCATGGGACTTAGTAAGTAAGGTTATAAGTAGGTTATTATTAGGATAACCCCACTTAGGGGACTTATAAGCCCAATTATAACCTACTTACTAAGTCCCATGATCCTTTAAGCCCCGACCCTCAGCCGTCTCTCCCGTAAGCACTGAACCTTAAACCGTGATCCTTAAGCCTGTACCGGCCGGAACCTTTCATAGATCCCTTATGGAAACCTAAGGCCCCCCAAAGCCCTAAACTTAGGGTTTTGGGTTTATAGGGTTCAGTGTCTAGGGTTTAGGGTTTAAGATTAGCCATCAATCCCAAGTTGAAGGTTGATCCCGAATGTCGGGTCTAGAGGGCTCCTGCACGAAGCAGGTGCATCTCGGGGGAATCACAACGGGTCGTAAAGGTTGTACATGAGTTCCGTAAGGTTTGCGTTGGGGCCTGTCTTCAGCCTGAAAGCCATAGTTGCACGCCTTCCCTAAACCCTAAACCCTAAACCCTAAACCCCTAACCGGGGCTTTAGTGTAGTCTTATGTGGCACCATTCAGCCCCCCAACCTTGAACCAAACCTTCCCCGGTCTGCTAGATCGGTGCACGAGAACATATCCCAAGAGTCCTAGACATGAATAGAAGACTTATAAAACCTTACATAACCCCCTCCAGAGCCTTGCAAAATCGCATAGAGACCCTTCCATTCAATTGCATTTAACCCAACAGGTCTTGTACATGCTCATATAGACTGTGCAAAATCCTGTAGAAGCTCGAATCTACTATTGTAAGCAATCGTCTAGGCCATATACTCCTAGGTAGTATCAGGGAGACCCCTTAAAAGGGGACCCTTGTGAACCCTGCTTCTGGCTTTCTTGACAGGGAGCTTATTGAAAGGGTCTATATACCCAAGAGTCCCCCTAATCCCAGCCCCCCCTAAGACCCTAAACCCTACAACCCTAAACCCTAAAACCCTAAACCCTAAAACCCTAAACCCTAAACCCTAAACCCTAAAACCCTAAACCCTAAAACCCTAAACCCTAAAACCCTAAACCCTAAACCCTAAACCCTAACTTCGTTCTCAGGTGATCTGCCTTCCAGAAATCCGTGAGGCCCCATCCTCGAAAGCGAAGTTGAAAGCGATTTGTCACAGGGTTGCCACAGGGGTTCAAGAAGGGTTGCATAGGAGTGTACTTAAAGGATCATGGGACTTAGTAAGTAGGCTATAATTGGGCTTGTAAGTCCCCTAAGTGGGGTTATCCTAATAATAACCTACTTATAACCTTACTTACTAAGTCCCATGATCCTCCAAGTAGGTATTTTAGGGTTTCAGAGGCGTTGAGGGTTTCGAGGTTGAGAGCCTTTTGGGGATGAGTGAGGAAAGCGAGAAAAGGAATGGTGAGACGTTGTGCAGCAAAAACCAGTTTGACAAAGGTGTTTTTTTTAATTATCTCGTTTAGAGCTTTGACAAAATCGGGATCTTGATTCCATATGGATCAGGGCGCTGGGTTTAACAGGGTTGCACCTGTGTGATGCTGATCGGATTTAGGGGGCTCTGCTTCCTATTCTAAGCTCAACCGTAAACCTCAGAGGTCCAGATCAACAGCGAGGACCAGTTTTTCGTGATGGCCAGTGATGGTGTTTTCGAGGCCATGCTACTCGAATCATAGCGCTTGCGGTTACCCTAAATCACACAAGACGGAAACCTTAAACTCCAAACCCGGTGTAATTACACTACTTGGAGGATCATGGGACTTAGTAAGTAAGGTTATAAGTACCTTAATTGGGGTTATAAGTATAGTTACCCTAATTATAACCCTAGTTGCTAAGTCCCATGATCCTTTAAGTAGCCCCAAGCATCCTCTAGGGTGTTAGGGTTCAGAGCTCCCTCTTAGCAGTAGAGTGCTGTAAGCTTCAACCGTTTGGGAGTACCCACAAAGCTTGATTCACACCCCTATATTCTCCCAAAGGTTCACCCTGAGTTATTCGGTAGGAAGCTGGACATGTAAGTCGTAAAGCTTGAAAGCCCAAGACGTTCCTGCACATAGCTTCGAGGATGAACCTGAGTTTTACCTCAAGCTGCCAGATCCTTCGTACCTGTCTGCAGGTCCGAATAGAAACCCTTATGTAATTGAGCAAAGAGACGATTAAGGTTCACAGTGAGGTTCTGGCGGCGTAGTAGATGTTCTGTACTTCTGTTCGAAGTATCCGAATCGGGTGTATCCTGGCTATGTTCCTACTTGGTTCCACGAGCAAACCCTTAACCGCCATCCCTTACTCTCCCAATGGCGGCATGGGCTCCCAAGACTTAGCGAGCATGGGTAGTTTGTCAGCTAGAATCTTATGTCTGTGCCCCAGAGGTGTACGGCAGTCTTGTGATGAGGGAGGTGTACTGTCGGGATTCTTTTCTTCACGGTGGCTCCAGTCAAGGTATGTTCATGTAAAGACTTTGCGGGGTTAGAACAGGAGGGCACTTCCTGACGAGCCGTTGGTGGAAAAATCCTGCAGCCAAGCACCCTAAGCTATCGGACAACTGTTTGCTTTGTCTGTTTTATGTGGAACGCAGACTTTTGTCGGTCAGCGGTATGCTGTTCAGCTCTCGCATGAATTCAACCCAGCTCCGACATGCGCATGAACCTTCACCTAACAGGTGACGCAGACCTTTCTAGTTCTTAAGGGAATGGGGGAATGGATCCGCATGATGGTCCCCAAAGGTCCCTTCTGGTAGTCCCTATAGCCAAGTTCCTCATTCCCTACTAAGAACCAGAAAGAGAAGGGGCTCCGCTCGACAGTGCTTAAAGGATCATGAGACTTAGTAACTGGGGTTATAATGAAGGTAATTATACTTATATTTACTTATAGCCCCATTTAAGGTACTTATAACCTTACTTACTAAGTCCCATGATCCTCCAAGTGGAGTTTCTGCTTCATCCCGAAGACGCGTCCCCGACATGCCGGAAGCCTCCTCTTGCTCTTGGCTCCCGAACCCTGGGGCTCAAAATAGCCCCAAAGCCTTATACATCATGGTCTTTTGGGCCCGAAAGCCTTTAATATATATATATATAGTTTTTGGAGCTCTAGAGTAGGAAGTGAGTAGAAGTGCAGGTGTTCTCCTCGGATCAGTTGATCGAGGAGTTGCTCAAGGCCTGACGATTTAGGGTTCAGGGTTTAGGGATTAGCAGAGAGTTTAGGGTTCAGGGTTTAGGGTTTAGGGTTTAGGGGTTGGCATAACGCATCTTCACCATTGCACACAAATAGTGTTGGTGACATATAGCTGCCATCGCTATTGGCTTATATACATGTTATCACCACATGTTGTGTATGCATGCATGTCTACCGGCACGTCTATCGTTCTATCTTGACGTCTGTGTATCTAGCTGTCTGTATGCATGCGTCTTTCTATCTATCTTGCTGCCTATCTGTCTAGCTCTCTATCTTGCTTCCTACCTATCTATCTGTTTGTCTGTGTCTGTCTGTCGGCCCATTTGTCTATCTGTCTATCTGTCTATCTGTCTATCTATCTCTTTGTCTATCTAGCTCTCGATCTTGCGATCTATCTATCGATAACTTCCTCCATCGGTCTACCTGTCTATGTGTGCAACCATAAAAGCATAGACCCCAAACTTCACCCACACCCTAAACCCCAAGCCCTGGTTTAGGGTTTAGTCTTTGGGGTTCAGGGTTTAGTGTTTCAATAGAGTATCTAGGTTGGCAATGCAACCGTCTGTGTCAGGGCGCTTTCAGTGTTGCTGTTCGCCGTTTTCATATCCGTTGAGATGAGCAGGGTTGTTCTCACAAGTACGGTTGCTCTGATCCTCCTAAACCTGAAACCTTAAGCCCCTACACCCTGAAGATTGTAGAACTTTCAGCCTCAGTGCTTCTGCTCCGGTTTGTGTAGAACTGTGTTGGTCACCACAGTAAGTAACTATTCTGGGTCGGTGTGTGTGTGTGTGTGTGTGCTCTTAGTGGTAGTTGCAACGCTGTGCGAGTCTTGTTAGAGGCGGATGCTCCTTTACCAGAAGGAACATCTCTGAACTTAAGATTTAGGTTTAGGGTAATGTGCTTATTGATTGCATCATAGCAAAATTGCCGATGTAGTTTGAGCCGTCTCCCGCCGCTAATGAAAAGTACTTACAAGATCATGTCAGTCACGGCCAATGTCTCTTTCTATTTCCGGTCCCTCCCGCGGTGAGAGCACTTGGAACTATGCGCCGAGATCGCCCGAAGTGTCCCACAACGTCTTCCACGAGGCCTTAAACCCATAAGCTCAGCAAAGGCTCAAATGCGAGTTTCCGAAAATAGGGGGCCCCTTATATAGTACCTTAATCGTAGGATCCTTCTTATAAGGACCCCCAAAAGAAGGTACCACTAATTTTCGGAAACTCCGAAATCGTGAAACACCCGGAGGCCCGACCCAAAGCCCTAAACCCGAAACCTCGAAGCCCAAAACCCAAAACCCAAAACCCTGAACCCAAAACCCTGAACCCTAAAACCCTAAACCCTAAAACCCTAAACCCTAAACCCCCAAAACCTGGTGATTTCTGCTGGAAGTAAGCCCATCAGGAGCGACGTCGACTGAAGACTTGGCCCATGGCCGTCGACAGCATTCTGAAGAACCTTGGTTTCAGGGTTTAGGGTTAAGGGTTTAGGGTCTTTCATATTAGGGATCCTACTATGATTTAAGGTATACTCCTTAATCAAGCGACATTGGAGTCTCTGAGTTCAGGGCAACTGACAAGGCATCTTCGTTCAGGCAGCCCAAAGCCAGACGCCTTCTTCGTCATTCAGTCAACATCACCGTTACGCACGGTCTTTACCTTCTTCAGCGCAGTTGTAATATTCTGCATCTTTTGGCATCGTCGTAGTTGCCATCTTCATTACATGGCCGTGCCGGTGATGCGACGGTGATGGAGGCTATCAGGAGGATGACGACGACATGATAACTGCCGCGATGATGATCGTGGCGATGAGGCTGATTTCATTCAGGACCAGAAAAGTCGGCACAATGACAATCTGTGAGCCGGCAATAATCATATGGATGATGAGACGGGTCCAGTAGGAATCACGACCATGGCAGGACGAACTATCCAGGATGTCAGACTCGGCCTTAGAACGATGGACATGACAGGCGGGGCACCCTTGCAACTCTGTCCAAAAGGCATGCAAACTCCCACCAAGTGTACCTAGTTAGGCGACGGCACTGATGCTCTTTCAGACTCATGATCTGAAGCTGTTGGCATCTTTTGCTCAACAAACATGAAAGCGTGACACACTTGTTTTACAACTCCTTAAACCCTACATCGTGAACCTCTCTCTCCTGAACGCTACACTCTGAACCCTAAACCCTAAACTCCTGAGCCCCAGAGCTCTTGAAAGGAGAGCTTGGAGTAGCGGTGACAATGTAAGCATTTGCCCGGAGCTCAGTCGATCGAATCCGGCTTGCAGCCATCATTCCACTTGCTAACGGTTTAGGGTTTAGGGTCTAGGTCCATACATGGGTTGCTAAACGGGTTCCTAAACGTGCTCCTAAAAGGCTCCTCAAAGGGTTTCTATAAGGGTTTCTATACGGGTCCTTATCAGCGTTTCTAAAGTTCCTGACAAAAGGGTTCCTGAAAGGTACCATGGATTTGAGTCACTTTCGGGGCGATATATACTCATTTATGTGGGGACTTTATCTGCTGGTATGCCACCCTGAGGGATACCAATTAATTAATGTTCTCCCAAAGATTCTTGTATCTGTATCTAATCAGAGCAAGAACGATGACAATAACTATGATCACAATAATACTGGCAGCGGCAACGACAGAAACAGTAATAGCAACACCAACCAGAACCGCGACGACTACTACTGCCGTAAGGGTCACAGTGGGGACCTCAAGGCCCACTTAAAGGATCACGAGACTTAGTAACTTGGGTTGTAAATGAAGTAACTGTACATATACTTACTTCTAGTTCCAACTTACGGTACTTATCACCTGACGTACTAGGTCCCATGTTCCTCGAAGTAGACCCTAAACCCTAAAGATCCCTCTAAGGAACCCCTATTAAGGGAACCCTTTAATGAGCCTTACGTACTATTGGGGATTTGGAGCCTGTGAGGTTGGCCTTTTGGGTTTTCTGTATCAATCAAAGACTTAGCAGATTTTCAACTAAGCTATTTGAGGGTTTAGGGTTTAGGGTTTAGGATATGCCCTGTTATATCCCTCATCGCTGCCTACTGGCCCCCGTGATAAGTTAGATAGCTCGAAAGCTCAGACTGAAGAGTTGAAAATTGGTACTAGGGGCATTAGGGGCACTAGGGGAATCTAGCGGATTTTTTGGGGGAGGGTTTGAGGGTTATGGTTTAAGAATTTAGGCGTCAGGTAGGGGTTTAGGGCCGAGACATGGGATGAGGTTTGGTCGAGTTTCTCCAACCAGACGTGGTCGCCTAGTCACTGCTGGCTGGTCCGGACTCTTGGCTTTGGAACCTAAACCCCCAAACCCCTAAACACAAACCCTCCTAGAGACGAACCTCAGGCCCTTGCTGTATCAGCCGTCTGAAATGGATTCCGCTCAGAAGGAAATCGTCTACACTGGGCCCCTGTTTTTGGTTCCATCGTAGTTTCAAGGAGGGCATCCGGTTGAAGCTTTATGGCAACACTCCTCAGTTCAAGAGCATGCCTGTCTTCGTGACGAACGCCCCATACTCTTGACGATCATTCCGAGCATGCCTTAAATTCAGGGGTACTGGGCCCTTGGAAACCAACCCTAAACCCTAAACCCTAAGCCCTAAACCCTAAACCCTAAACCCTAAACCCTAAACCCTAAACCCTAAGCCCTAAACCCTAAACCCTAAACCCTAAACCCTAAACCCTAAGCCGCCAGCCCTGAACCGCCCTGAGCCCTCGACTCCCCAACCCCCCTTCAACCCGAGACTCTTTAGACCCTGACTGTGAGTTTCCGAAAATAGGGATACCTTCTCTTGGGGGTCTTTATAATAAGGAGCCTACTATTTAGAGTACTATGTTAGGGTTCCTTACTTCCGGAAACTCTCAAATCCAGACTCCCAAACCCTCCGAGTTGTCTGCAAGGGTTGCGGTGTCACGGGGTGTTGGAGAGTTTCTTACGAACGCTCTAAGGTTTTTCCAGTGGGCTGAGGGTTTGTTGGGTACTTAAAGGATCATAGGACCTAGTAACTGGGGATGTAAATCAGGTGACTATAGTTGTAATTACTTATAACCCCAATTAAGGTACTTATAACATTACTTACTCCATGATCCTCCAAGTATGATCAGGTGTTGCAGAGGTTCCGCAAACCTTGTAAATAGTGAGTAAAAGACACAGGGATGAGTATACTGGTAGTGACGGATACTACGTAGACTCGCTAGGTCAAAGGAGGCTCCAGCTAGAGTCGAGGGGTTGAGACTGTGCAAGTTTTGGCTGTAAGGGCAAGGATTTTGCTCAGTGTTTAGTGATGGATTTCTAGATCGCAAAGTAAACTTAAAATCCAGAGTCCTGCGTCCGCACTCGTGATATAGTAGCCCTTATAGTCCCCTTTAAAGGAACCCCCTAGCCTCTCCGGAAGCATCGCTTCAGAAGGGAAGCCTGGTCGAACCGGATGAAACCTGGTAATGTCGGGGCTTGATTCGCTCAATAATTAGAATAGGGTTTGCGGGGTTCCTTATCATAGCTCTAGTATAACATACCCCAAGCCCTATTCTAATATCAAGGCCCCCATAATACATAAGACCCGATTCAAAACCAGCCCATCTACTGCTCTACTACCGAATATCATTATGCAGGTACTTATGTATGTGTCTGTACGCTTCTATATGTCAAAATTTAGGGTTTAGGGCATCAGACTGTTCAATTAACATAGGGGCCTCAATAATGGCCTACACGATTTTGGGGGAGTTTCTGATTATCGTTATAGCATCATGGGCGCCGATACCCTATTCTAATTATGAAGGAAGGTCCCTATATTAGGGGCTTTGGAGGCTCTACTTAAAGGATCATGGGACTTAGTAAGTAGGTTAGAATTGGGGTTATAAGTCCCCTAAGTGGGGTTATCCTAATTATAACCTACTTATAACCTTACTTACTAAGTCCCATGAGCCTTTAAGTAGGCAGATTGGGCACCGGATTTGGGACTATTGGGTCCGTACATCAAGTTATCAGACGGGGTGTAGGGGTTCAGGGTTCAGTTCAATATCCTGATTGTAACTTAGCCGGGGTTCCTCGACAGCAACCCGCACTAAGGAGATCTGATTATGGGAAGATTGGCCCAAGATCATCATGCTTGCAGATCCTGCGGAAGCAGTTTTTCTCGAATGAGATGTGCCCTGCAAAACAGCGGGTTCACAATCGTCAAGTGATGTAGTAGGCCAAACCCTAAAACTGTCTCGACTGGTGTTCAGGCTTTGTTTCGAGACGTTGGCTTGAACTGGGTTTAGAACTTCAAACATGAAACCTGAAACCCTGCACCCTATCCCCGAAACCCACACCCCAAAACCCTCAACCCAAAACCAACCCAAAGCCCTCAAGAACCCCTAAACCCTAAGTGCGATTGGGGGCCCAGTAGACCAGCTGTCGGTCCCGTACTGGCTACCCAGATACCCGCAAGTGCGGCATCATGTGCCCCTACCCTAAACCCTAAACCCTTAACTCCAGTCAGGGCCTGGAGTTTAGATTTAGTTTAGGGCTTGGGCTTTAGGGTTCGGCCACTAAGCCCGTTTGAGGACCGAGCACGAAACACTCCGGCAGAATGCCTGTGTGACCTATGTTTATTTTCCAGACAGCAGTCTGCTTCTTATTATATATATATATATATATTATATCCATTTGGCAACCCTAAGCTTAGGGGTGCTTAGAAATCATTTCTAATTTTTGGTTATTATACTCTCTAAGAAACAGCTAAAATTGTAATTTTTGCTAGGGTTCTAAGTTCAGTATAGTAAGTTCGAAACCCTACACCTATCTGCTGGGTATCTGGGAAGTCGCTTTCCTCGCTTTCCCGAGTCTGCCATCCGCGCGACGCAGAAAATGCATTGATACAGGATCCTCATTAATTAGCACAGGGTGTTGTGGGTTTTGCATAATGCATATATGCGTACATTCAGGGAACCCTACCAAGCAGCAGTACGAATTAGGCATTCAGGCCGCTTTTCCGTGTAAGTGCATAATCAAAGCAATTTCTTGTAAGCCTCGAGGCGACTGAGTTTCAGCTTCAATTTCATACTCCCCTAAATCTTGAAACCTAGTTACTACTAGAACTCCGCAGCCTCGTCTCCGAAAGCCTAGATCCCAAACTGTCCTCAGCCGGTGACCGTACGGGTCCTACACCACTAGGCCTACCGCATGCCCGGGGTAGGGTCAGAACGCTCGCCGGCAGGCGCATTAAGTGCTGCAGCTTTCAGTACACACCGTAAGTCCAGATGCCCTACAGCCGTACATTGTTTGAGAGGCAAGCTGCTACGGTTTAGGGGTTAGGGAACGGTTAGGGTTTTGGGCTTTAGGATTTAGGGCTTACGGTCGAGGGCTTTAGCCTACGGTGGTCGCCCGCCGCAGGGGCACCCTAGTGCCAGTGACGATCACTATGCTTGCTGCTTGCGTCTGTCGGGGGTTTCTGGGTTCAGGGTTGTCAGTCCTGGAACAAACCCCGAAACCCTAAACCCATAACTTTCAACCCTAAACGGCCCAAAACCCCGAAACCCCAAAGCCCTCAAGTAACCCCCAAAACCCTGAACCCTAAACCCTGAACCCTAAACCCTGAATCCTAAACCCTAAACCCTGAATCCTAAACCCTAAACCCTAAACCCTACACCGCCCTAAACTCTGAACTGTTGGGCAGGCATGAAGCCTCCGCGGTGACCAAGGGGCCCGGGCCTTTTCCTGGACTAGGATGCACTGCTTAAAGGATCATGGGACTTAGTCACTAGGGCTCCTTTAAGGGGCTCCCTAAAAGGGATCTATAAGGGAGTTTCCGAAAATCAGGGTACCCTATTTGGGGGTCCTTATAATAAGGATCCTACTATTTAGGGTGCTATATTAGGGTCCCCTGTTTTCGGAAACCCCCATAAGGATTCTATAGGGTTCTTTAAGAGAGGTCCCAGGGTTACTCAAAGGACCCTTAATAAGGACCCCTAGGTGTATACCCTTAATATAGCTACTATATACCCATTATATAGCCCCATTATAGGGTAGGGGTCCCCATTAAGGGTCCCTCCTTTTCCCCTTTGAACTTAGTAACCAGAGTCACTCAGACCCAGCCTAAAGGGGATCCATCAGGGTTCCTTTAAAGGGGATCTATAAGGGTTCCTTTAAAGGGATCTATAAGGGTTCTACTATAAAAGGGTTTAGGGTTTGGGAGTTTCCGAAGATTAGGGGTACCTTATTTGGGGGTCCTTTTGATAAAGATCCTACTATTTCTGGTGCTATATTTGGGTCCCCTATTTTCGGAACGTTTCATTTCTTTTCGGCAGTTGTTGTGAGGCCTGAAACAATCACCTACGGTCTCTTATAGGTTTCTAACATCAATGTTCACTTGGGCGGTTGTCAAAATTATGGTCCCGTTTTGGGTACCCTAAATATTAGGTGCCGCATTATAATTTAAAGAAGGATCCAAAAATGGACCCTATTTTTGACAACTACCCACTTGTTTGGGAGTCCACACGACAAGGTACTTGGAGGATCATGGGACTTAGTAAGTTAGGTTATAAGTAGGTTATAATTAGGATAACCCCACTTAGGGGACTTATAACCCCAATTATAACCTACTTACTAAGTCCCATGATCCTTTAAGTAGATTCTGCTAGATCGAGGATTGCCTTGAAACTCTTGATTACCCGAGGCCTTAAGACGTAAGCAGCAGGAGCGTCCAAACTGCAACAGTTCAGGGCGTAGAGTTTAGGGTTTAGGATTTAGGGTTTTAGGGTAAGTTAGGATTTCGGGGTTTAGGGTTTAGGGTTTCGTGCTCTTCGGGTGTGCTTTATGGCCCATGAACCGGATGTTCTCTCGAGGCCTTTGGTGGCGAACCCGGCGGACCTGCCGGGCGACGAGGATGAGGACGAAGACGACGACATGGAGGAGGCGTGGGGGGAGCTTGAGAGCTTCAGGGGTTTGGGGTTTAGGGTTTAGGGTTTAGGGTTTAGGGTTTAGGGTTTAGGGTTTAGGGTTTAGAGTTTAGGGTTTAGGGTTTAGGGTTTAGGGTTTAGAGTTTAGGGTTTAGGGCTGTAGGGGTTTAGTAGCGGTATTGGGCTTAGCGGGCTAGCAGGGTTTGCAGGCTTTGTAGGGTTTGTAGGGCCTTGTAGGGTTGATAGGTTGAGGTACGTACTTATGTCGGAGGAGGGGGCGATCGCTATGCCTGATACCCTATACCTTAGGGGTTGCTTCTAACAGCAAATAGCATGGGTTCTTTAGGCTGATTCAGTCCATTCAGAATGGTAGCAAGAAT